TTTAAAAAAAAAAAAAAAAAAAAACTAGCCAGGAGTAGAATTTTCCAAACCATTTCCTGAGATTCCTTCTTTAAAAAGTTTTTTCTTTCAGATAGTTTTTCCAGGCCTTATAAGGGTTTAAAGGAGGCACAACTTAACTCAGGCCCTGGAAGTCCTATTCATTTCCCTGATAAATAGGAATTGATATGCACACTGTGTAAGAAATAAAGTCTTTCATCATTCACGCCTGAGACAGAGATAAACCTGTGGGGAGCATTTTTCTGGCAAAATGAAAAACTGAATCTGTGGCACTTTTCATTTGAAATAAGAGTCAAAGTAACTGAAAACCAGGAGGTCCATTTAAAATTCTATTTTTCTAGTTTAGAGAGAAGGACCAGAGGCAGGCATGGTGGTGCACTCGTAATCCCAGCACTCAGGAGGCAGAGGCAGGAAGATTTCCTCAAGTTCACGCCAGCCTGGGCTACACAGTGAGTTCAAGGCCAGCCTGAATCACATAGCCAGACCCTATCTCAAAACAACAAATAAAAAAAGGAAGAAGGCTCAGGATAGCTCACCTTTATGATTCAGGACCTCTTTCCCTAGATCAGAGGCCTGTGGACTGACGATATTCTTGTTAACCCACAGCCATACATGCTGCTCGATAATCAGCAAATCTCACTAACCAGATCCATTTGCTCCTGACTTCTGCCACAGTCCTGCTGTGACGAGGCCACGGTTAATAAGCAACAGACAGTGCCAATGGGTAGATTCTGTTGAGCCCACTGAAGCTTTAAAATGGATTAAGCCCCGACTCCTTAGCTCAGGATCACAGGAGCAGGGAGAAGGCAGGGAGGTCATGGCAGCGGCCGCAGGCCTGGGCCTCTGTGTGCAGGATTAATGCATGGGCCCTGCAGAGAAGGCCGGTGCTGTCCCCATGTTATCCACGAGAAAACGGTGCCCTGGACCAGTGAGCCGGCCACACACGGGCACAGCTAATCTGTCCACGCTGCTCCGAGCCTGTCTCTGACTATCGCAGTCGCTCAACAGTCACAGGCTCCGTCCTCCCCAAAGAGCGGGAGGCCGTTCATGTCTTCTGTGTGCATCAGACACAAACAGAGCTAAATCCATCCGCCAGAGCCAGAGTCCAGGCAGGAGCTGACGCTGGCCACTTCAGATCGGCCCTGGTCACGCTCCTTCACTGCGGGCCCCAAGACGACTGACTGTTGCCCACCCAGTGTTGCACCTCCTTCCTGTCCTGACAACACACAGAAATCAACCCGAGGGCTGCAAGCCTCCTCATGCCCAGAATGGACCCCAGGGCTGGGAATTTGGCTCCGTGGTGATGCTGCCTGCCTCGCAAGCAGAAGGTCCCCAATTAGATCCCTGCACCAAGAAAAAAAAAAAAAAGAATGGACCCCAAATACCGAAAAGCAAACCCTGTTGGCAAAGGTCTGTGGCGAGGATTTTTACATCTTCCCAATGCGTTTCCAAGGCGTGAGACTTTGGGGCCTGTGTTCGGCTGCACACCAGGGCCTCCCACCAGGGCTGCTTCTACCTCTGCGGAGTTACAGCCTAGGAGGTGAAGAGTCACACCTAGGAGCATGGGAATGAGGGTGACATATGTTTTTTTTCTCTTTACCAGCAAATTTGGAAACCGCTAAAAGAAAAATGACACCTATCGCTGAATGCCATACCCCAAATACCAATCCAGTGAGAAAAGAGATCAGAAACATTTTCAGACATTTCCCTCCCAAATGTCCCTGTCAGGAAAGGACCCAGGAGAACAAAGCCAAGGACAGTCTCGGGAAGAGGGTCATGACCAGGCCACCTGAGGCTTGTCCGGAAGAGAGAGCCAGGAAAAAGTACACAGAAAGGGCAGACTGCTGGGGACACATGAGCATTTGGGGAAAAGGTAAAGAATTTAATAACTCTACTGCCACATTTCAAGGAAGAAAAATCATAGAGACACAAAAAAAGAAATGTAAAAGAGTGAGGCTTTACTGACTCCAGGAAAACTGAATATACAAGTGTAACTGGGTTAGAAAATGCAGCAATACTGGCGTAATTATAATTTTATAAACAGACTAATTTGGCCAGTCACTCTGGAATTGATCTATCAAGAAATAGTATAATTATATCAGTTCAAATATTCAAAGATATATTCTTATATTAAAATGTTAAGATGATATCTTAATAATTCAAAGTTTTATACTCTGAGAAATATTGTATAATTCTAATAGTCTGGGTAGCACAGGATAAAGGAATGCTATAAACATGTATTAGTTTAATTTAGAAAAATTCTAAAAACTGAAATAAAGAACAGAGGAAAAATATAGGAATGTTGCAAGCAAAAAAGAAAAATCATTAACCTTGGTTTTCATAGATGAAAGAATGTTTCGGATGAAAGTATTTCAAATGCAAGGCTCCAAGGGCCAAATAATGACTTTCACTTTCTATCTCACTTTGTTTATGCAAGTCTACTACATTCAGTCACCTTTCCTGTGAAACCTTTTCAACTTCGGATATCCTCAGTACCTTTTATTCTGGTCATTTTGTAAATTCTGTGGCAGCATTTACTCCTCTGTAATTTTGTATCACTGTATTTTATAAAATGCATTTGCAGCTCTAAATATAATGTCACTTTGTACTCAATTCCCTTATGAACTGTTTTATTTCAGTAAGATAAGAATTTCATCTCATACAATATCAAGTTTTTGCTTCAATCTACCCAAAAGATCCCACCTTAAACTTCGTTTTGTTTTTTGACACAGGGTCTCGCTATGTAGTTCAGGCTGGCCTTGAACTCACTGTGCAGGCCAGGCTGGCCTTGAACTCACTGTGCAGGCCAGGCTGGCCTTGAACTCATGGTGATCCTCCTGCCTCAGTCTCCTGATTGCTAGGATCAGAGGTGTGCACTACCATACTTGGCCCATCTTCAAATATCTTTTAAAAATTCATTTTAATAATGTTGTGCATTTACCCTACATCATCCAACCAACGCATGGTGCATCTTTTTTCATATTATATCACCTCCAATTTTGAGACTATTCCTTAAAACTGTTGATGTCCTGAAATCATGGAAGGATTGGCTGGAAGCTGAGTCCTTCCAGAAAACACATATCCAGGTCCATCCCAACCCAGACCACTTCGAACTGTCTGCCGAAACATTTTTTCAAGTGCACAGTAACATTGCAATTCCCTAAATATTTGTTAGAACCAATTTGCTGTTCAAAAATCTCAAGGCAGATATTTTTTTCTTCCCTCCACCAGTATGACATTTAAATTCCTTTCCTATATATTTATCTTGCAATTTCCCCACATTGAAAGGTTACTTTTCGGTTAGTCATTCTACCGGACCGGACTCCTCGTCCAAGATAATTCTTTCTCTCGAGAAGGTCCATAGACACCTAGGGTGTTATCTCCCACTGATGACGTTTGGATTCTGTCATCTGCGGTGCTAGATAACCAACAAAACAAAACAATTGCACGTATAACATTTTTTTAACAGCAGTTGTACAAATACATGTATGTGCATCTACATAGAAACAATTATATAAATTTGCCTTTTTAATAAACGGAACATTCTGGCTTCTTTGAGCTCATCACAGCTTCACGTTCTCACAGTTTCTCCAAGTGTGGCCTTCGCTGCGTGCAGGGGACCGTCGCTGGTCGGCCTTTCTCTCTGAGACACACTTTCTACCGTTCCTGCAGGCTCAGCGTTTGGCAGAGCTCGCACGCACCCACCAAGAGCCACGGCAGCCCACACCGTGGTCTGGTTGATGGGAAATAGGCACCCTCATGAAAGACCGTCACGGAAGCACAGCACCTGGGACCCAACTCTGAGCCCTCCCCTCCAAGCCAGCTGTCCCGCACGCTGGCAAACCCAAAACACATAATCACACCCCTTAGTGGGTGTGGCCGAACCCTCTGCTTGCAAAGGAGCCGTGGCTAAGCCGTGAAAAGACGCCTCAGAGAGTCAGCGACTGCTTCGTCCTAGTGACCTCCGGGCAATGAGTTTCCCACGCACGACCGCTTCACTCCCCACAATGCACCCGGGAAGAGCACATCTACTTTACTGATGACGACCCTGAGACCTGCAGGTCAGTAACGAGCTCGGGCCTGCACCGCCAGAAAGGGGCAGAACAGAACTGCGGCCCAGACGAGTCCCCCGAAGGCCCGCCCTCTACACCGAGGCACTTTCCTGCTTTGTTTTGGGGGTGAAAACTGTGATGCGAAGAGGCCATGGCGATGTGAACAGCGAGGCCAATGACGGGAACACATCAAGTGCAGGTGCTCGGCAAGGTCAAGTTTTAGATAAATCCCCGCCTACTTCTCAACGCCCTGAGAAGGTGCTACAAACCCCACGGGCGGTGGCGTCCAGTGGGCCCGGGCTGCAGACAGGTCAGCACTGTAACCTCTGAACGGGAGGCCCGCGTGGGCGAGCCCTGGGCCAGGGGGGCCGGGGCGCTGGGTG